AAAGAGGAAGTCAAATAACTCATTAATATTTTAATATGGACTATAAACCAAAAATGACATATTTTGGATATACCTGGGTTAAATAAAACATTAAATTAGAGTTAACTTTTAATAGTTCTTTTTCTTTTCTTCTTTCTAGTGCTAGAGGTCCAAGCCAGGGCCTCATACATGCGAAGCAAGCATTCTACCAACAGGACACATCCAGCCCCTCTCTAAAAATGGCTACCAGACAGGGCTGGTCTAGATCATTTTGATTTGATACTGATAAGGCTGAGTTAAATCTACTACTAGACTCATTTTTACGTTCATAGCATTTCTTCTTTTTTATCTTTTTTCCTTCTTTTGGATTTCTGAATTGCACTTTAGCTTATAACTGTACTTTTGCTTTTGTTTTCGGTCACTGCTCTAGATTTGAATTATGTAGGTCTTTAGTCATAGGTTATCAGTCTGTGTTAATAACATTATACTACTACATATAGAAGGGAGAATCTGATGGTAGTCAGCAGGAACTTCAATTCTGTTTTCTCCTTTATGCTACGATTATCAAACATCTGCTTCTTACGTAAGTTCCACTAAAACAATGCAGTTTAGTGCTACTTTAGTCAACGTTCTTTAGAGATGAGAACACTCCTAATCTCTTCATGCCTTTGCAGACTCATTTTCACTTCATGTTTTTGTGCCTGAAGGACAAGTAACACGTCTTCAGTACCTGTCTGCTGGTAATGGTCTATCAGCACTATGTAAGAAAGCATGGCTTTCGGCGGGCTAGACAGCTTACTGAGTAACGGTGCTCGCTGCCAAACCTGACAACCCGGGTTCAATCCCTGGGACCCACAGGTGGAGGAGAGAAGCAATTCCCGGCAGTTTTCTTTGACTTCGCATGCACTCTGGTATGTGCACACGCGTACACATTACAAGGGATAAGAAGTAAAGGAGAGCAGAGTCTACTTGGAAAGGATATTTATGATAGATAATGTTTGTCCTCTATGTCTTAGGGCCTGTGTGGATCCTAACAAATTATTCTTTGTCCCTCTGCACTTAATGTGTGTGTGTGTCTGTCTGTCTCTCTTGCTCGCTGCACTGACTATTTTTCTCTTTAGTGCTGGTTTTTGGCTAAAATTATCCATTTTAGTATGACATTCTTCTACTCTGGATATCTTAAATTTCATAGATGTCAGTTCCTGGCTTCAAGTTCAGGACACCTTCCATCGCTAGTTCTTAAACAGTTTTTTATAGACATTGCTAATGCCTCTGGGATTCCAATCGCAAACTCAGGCTGCTCAACAACATCCCGGGACTCACTGACGATCCTGCCATCTTTCTTTTTCCATGCTTCAACTTGGGTGTCTATTGCCGTATCTCCATACCAGGTTTTTATAAACTATAGCGTATACCCCCTTTATCTCACTGCTCTCAGGGACCACTGCTGTACCTCCACACCACGTTTTTATAAACTACAGCGTATACCCCCCTTATCTCACTGCTCTCAGGGACCACTGCTGTACTACCTTCATGCAATGCATGAAAATTGTTGGTTTTTTTTCTTTCTTTTTTAGTATACTAGGGAAGTTGAAAGGGTAAACCTTTCCCTTTCACAATATCCTGAGCAGAAGCAAAACCAGTTTTATCTGCACAAATACCTAAATTATTTCCATGTATTTCTAAATTTATTTAATGATCTATAAAACAATGCCCAAGGGGATGGAGAGCTGGCTCAGCAGTTAAGAGCACTGGTTCCAGAGGACCCAGGTTCAATTCCCAGCACCCACATAGTGGCTCATAAGAGTCTCTAACTCAAGGAATCCAGCACCCTCTTCTGGTCTCTGTGGGCACTAAACGTGTGTAGTGCACAAACATCTATTCAGGAAAAACACCTACACACACAAAATAAGATAAAATAAAATAAAAATTTATCTCACAGTTTATTTATTTTTTTTTATTTAAAGATTTATTTACTTATTATGTATACAGTGTTCTGTTTGCATGTGTCCCTGCAGGCCAGAAGAGGGCACCAGATCTCATTACAGGTGGTTGTGAGCCACCATGTGGTTGCTGGGAATTGAACTCAGGACCTCTGGAAGAACAGTCAGTGTTCTTAACCTCTGAGCCATCTCTCCAGCTCCTTATCTTACAGTTTAAAAGACAAAAACAAACAATGCTCAGGCCTTCAAAGAAGAAAAAAAAAACAAAACAAAACAAAACAAACAAACAAAAAAAACCTAACCTAAAACAGCCCTCTTATCAGAATGATTAACACAGACTCTTAAAGGTGAATGATTTTAGAAGTCATGGAAGTCAATCTCTAGGATTTAGTAATTGTTGGTACTGACATCCATTTGAAAATGCTTGTTTCTTCATGCCTACTTTCCATCTACTTTTGCAGGTATGTTTTCTCTTTCTTCTTTTTAGACATTATTAATGACAGATTTACTGATCCAGAATAGAAATTCTCACCTACAGTATCAATTTTATCAGTCCTTTATAGTGCCTAGTCTTTACAGGGTAGTCAGTTTCCAAAGTCTGTTTTTGAGAAGTTTGGTTTTCTAATGTGGCAGTAAAAATCTCAAATTAGTTCTCTGAAGCTATACAGAATTTAATAAGTTCATTTTTGAAAATCTACTGAATAAACAGGCATGAAGTTCTATTTTTCTTTTTAAAAAGAGATCAAGGGCCAGGAGTGGTGGTTCATGCCTTTAATTCTAGCACTGTGGAGGCAAGGGCAGGTGGATCTCTGAGTTCAAGGTTAGTCTAGTCTACATAGTTCCAGAATAGTCAGGGCTATGTAGAACTGTGTCTCAAAAAAAAAAAAAAAAAAGAGAAGAAAAAGAAAAAGAGGGAGAAGGTAGCATATAGCTTAAAAATATCCCAAATACAGGATTTTTGGATTTTATTTATTTTTATTATTACACTTATTTATTTACATGTATGTATGGACACAGATGCACATGGCAGACATGAGTGGAGGTCAGAGGACAATTTGTGGGAGTTGGCTCTCTCCTACTCTGTGGGTCTTGGGGATCAAATGCAGTCACCAGCCTTGGCAGCCAACAACTCTGCTTGCTTGGCCATCTTGCTGGCCCTGGGTTTTCCTTTTCCCTCCCTTCCTTTCTTCTGGAGAACTGACGGTTTTATTTTCTTTAAAAACTAAATCTGGTTCCTTTCTTTACCTAGCTTTTATTTTACTCTGTCAAGGGTAAGAATAATTTATGAGTTACCTTATTTACAGAGAATTTTAATATATCCTAAAATATTGACAGGACACACAAAACAAAAATGGTTATTTACAAGAATATTTATTTGAGAGAAGAATATAATTGAAAAAATATAATTGAAAAAGAAAAGTATCTGTAAAATAAATATCAGAATTTAAGCATATTTAATAGTTCATCAAAATGTTGGCTATTTAAGCCTAAGAAATATGATACTTTAAAATTGGTGCTTCTTAAAATAGTTCTTGTTATCATCTTGAAGGTATGACTTTCCACCTGCTTTGAAAGTTAATACTCTGAACTCAGAAGAAGAGCACTCTTTCCAACATTCTAGGCAGGTGTGGTAGGGATAAGGAGAAGGACTCTCTCCTCCCCAAATCTGTCCTAAATCATGTCATTGCCATTAACTCTCCATGCTCCAACTCCAGCCTCTGGTGGGTCTGGGGAAGGGAAAACAGGCCCTGATGAATGCTGCCTCTGTAAGGAATCTCTCAAAGCAAACTGCCACAGTAGAGGGCAAGAATTCAGCTCATATCCTACTCACTGCTGCCCCCTAGGTTCTGCCCGATTTATAACCAACAGGCTACAGTCCTTTTGGAATAACTGACTTCCTTCTCCAGCAGTGGCAGGAAAAAGAGAAATGGTAAATGATTATAGACCAAAAATAATTTATAAGAGAACACTTTTGATTACTGTTGACTTTTTTTTCCTCGTTAATTCTGTGAGCTCTTCTCCATTACAATTTAATCCAGTGTTCTATTACCCGAGGAGCCAAAAGATATGAGTGAGGTTTCTAACAGACATTAAATCATGTGTTCCTTACCATTGCTAGTCAAAATAGTACTCAAGGAGTGAGAGGCCTCTGAAATTCTTATCTTCTAGACTAACCATTGCCATAGACAATGGAGCAGTTCCGCTGGCCCCGAGGAAATCAATATCTTGGGCACGATGCATGGTCTTAAGTTCTATACATCGAATCCCACAACAGATCCAATTCAAGACTCTGAGGCAGTGGCCTACAGTGACCACCGGTGCCTGGGTTGAGCCCCACTCTGCTAGTTACTGTAACATCTATGACCCTGGGAATTTCTTCATCTTCCCGTGCTTTGTTTTTTCATATGCTCAACTTGTCATATGCACATAATAATAAATAAAAAGTAGGAGTAAATCCTTCTAAAGTAAAATAGGTTTCTAAAGGTCTAGGGTGAAGACAGGTCAATTTAAAGATCATGCCTTAATTACTCTATTTAATTGGAACTGGGAGGTGCAGTCATTCCCCCTCTTGCTACATATCAACAACATAAAAACAATTTAATGTTTTTACTATCATCTTTAAAAACATCATGAACAAATGAAGGCTACTTCAGAAAGCTTATCACGAACAATGTAAGTAACCTTAAGCCAGGAGACGAGGAAAAGGAAGTAGACCTGGTTCCCGCCTAGAGATCCCAAGTATTCCCTCATGCTGCAGAAAGGTCAGACATTAAATATTTGCTCAGCTATATGAACTGCAGAGCAGGAGCCTTAAGCCGAGTGAGAATACCCCTGTGTGAACGGCCTTTCCCTCAGTATGTACAAGAGCAGATGAAATCAGGAGCACTTAGCCTGTAAAGCACACAGAAGCATTTCAGAAGGCCTCCCTTCTCCGTACCACATTCGTTCATACAGAGAGGCCGGGGAGAGGGGTTCAGATGCAGGTGTCATCTAAACCACATTTGGAGAAACAGTGAGATGATGCCCTTAGTTTTCATTTAATATTTACTATTTGCATATAAGTAAGTGCAAGATTACCTCATCGTTGAGCCAATTTAGATGGTTTAGAGTTTGAATATCTTTGCGTGTAATGGTCAAGCGGAACGCTTCACTGAGGACTTCATCTTGGTTACCATTACGAAATACATTCTTTATTTCTTTCTCCATTTCCTAAAACAAAAGATCAAACATAATGGTTTGGCTTCTCACCAGTCCCCAGACTGTACTTATGATAGTCAACTACCCAAGGTTTACCATGGTCTGTTTACATCTAACATTTTCTTCCTGGTTACTCCCTCCCACCCTCCTAGTCCTCTCTTTCTTTTTCACACAGTGTGCAGATTCTGGTTTCCTATCAGCTCCTGAAGACTGCAATAACCTTTGCTCAAATCTTCCAAGCTCTTTAAAAGGCTTCTTTACGTTTTATATTTCTAGTTCAAACGGTTCCCCAAGAAACAGAAGCTGACACAAAGGTGCCATGGAGTCAAAGGGAGCACCTTTTAGTCAGATGCACTTTTCACAGACTGTATTTCATTTTACTTTAAAGGTAAGCTATGGAATTAGTACAACTATAAGATGGGATGGTCACTGGTTACACGTAGTTCTTTTTCGTATTATTGGTGCTGGCAATCAAATGCAGGGCCCAGGGCCTTGTACGAGTGAAGCAAGCTTGCTATAGCCACCAAGTGCATCCCAGGTCCAACAGTGTTTTGAAAGAGGTGTGAAATGAAGACACGGATTTCAAAACACAGACTTCTAAGTATCTTCCAAAACGTTCCCAATGATTACTGCTTAAAAAGAAACATTACCAAAAAAACAAAAAAACAAAACTCTGTGAGTTCGAGGCCAGCCTGGGCTACCAAGTGAGTCCCAGGAAAGGCACAAAGCTACACAGAGAAACCCTGTCTCGAAAAACAAAAAAAAAAAAAAAAAAAAGAAAAGAAACATTACAAAAACAATGTAAAACAATGTATGAAAATGTCATAATGAAACCCATTTCTTTGTATGCTAATTAAAAAATAAGACAAAACAAAAACACAAAAAGAAATAATACTTCTCAGCTCACAATGTGCTATCAAATGATTTCCTATGTGAGCCTGGGGGTGCAACCAGTATGTACGAAGTGGTGAGCTCAATTCAAAACACACCAAAATCTCCCAAGCCAAACCCAGTAACAAAATTATTTTTTGAAATATAATATATAAATGTACTACATGCTTTTTCACTGAAGTTGCTAAAACCCATCCATAATCATCTTAACAATTTTTAATCACCTTTATAAGTAAACATTGGTGCATAATACAAATAAAAGTATAGCTATACAAATACAACTTAAACGTAGGTACTCTACTGAATTATGTTTGGAACTGCCCATAGCATCCTTTCTAAACAAAAAGCAATTGTAGATTTTTTTTTCAAGACAGGATTTAATTATGCGGCTCCGGCTGGCCTGGAACATCTATGTAGACCTGGCTAGCCTCAAATGCAGAAATCCATTTGCCTCTTCCTCTGGTGTGCTGGGATTAAAGGCGTGTGCCACTACACTCTACTGTAGGAATTTTCTTTCTTTCTTTCTTCCTTCCCTTTCTTCCCTCCCTCCCTCCCTCCCTCCCTCCCTCCCTCTTTCTCTCTCTTTTTGATTTTTTGAGACAGAGTTTCTTTGTGTAACAGCTCTGGCTGTCCTGGAACTTGCTTTGTAGACCAGGCTGGTTTCTAACTCACAGATCCACCTGCCTCTGCCTGTCGAGTGCTGGGATTAAAGGTGTGCACCACCACCACCCAGCTGTAATTTTCAGTGTGTATTTTACCTCTGTAATTTCAGGAAATTCGTCTTCACTATCAGTTAGCTGGTGACTTTTTTTTGCGGTTTCCTGGGTGGCTGTGACAGGAATCTCCTTTTCAAGAGGTACACGAAGGTGCAGTTCTATGGAATCGAGGACTGCATGTTCCTGTTCCTGCAATCTCTGGAGACAGAACTTTACAATAAGCGGGACAAAGAAATCGACCACTGGACTTCTGTGAGGTGAGTCAGTCTGGCACACAAGCCATTTATAATAAATGCTATGCTACGACATGAGCACACAGCCATCACTCAAGCACAGCTAACCCCCAACAGTTTCAACCTAGATGTGCTATTTATTTCATAGTCTTTTTCAAAAAACATTTCATCTATTTTTATTTTATTTCTATTATTTTTTTAATTTATTTACTATGTATACAGTGTTCTGCCTGCATGTTTACCTGCAGGCCAGAAGAGGGCACCAGATCTCATTACAGATGGTTGTGAGCCACCATGTGGTTGCCGGGAATTGAACTCAGGACCTTTGCAAGAGCAGTCAGTACTCTTAAACGCTGAGCCATTTCTCCAGCTCCTATTTTTATTTTTTATGTGTGAGTCCTCTGCCTGCATGTACGCATGTGCACCAAGTGGGTGCCTGGTTTCTGAGGAGGCCAAAGAGGGTGCCAGATCCCCGGTGACTGAAGCTGCTGCTGGCTGTGACCACCTCCGTGGTCCTCCTCACCTGGTTTTGAAGCTGCAATGCCAGTGCCTTCTGCTCTTCAATCTGGCGGAATCTCTCCCGGGCTCGAGAGTCATAGACACTCGTTCTAGAAAACAAACGAGCAGCAGCATCATACCCACATCACAGCCAGACCATACCCGACCACGCCTCTGCAATCACTGTGGTAACCAGCATCATAGAGCTCACACTGTATACAGACTCACTCAGACCTCAGCACACTTACGTTTTAAGACACAGTAAAACAACGTGGTTATTTAAACTATGCTATCACACTTACTGGAGTAATTTAAGTATAACAGGTGTGACTTCTGTGGGTATTTGTAAATAAATAGTCTCATTCAAAAGCGTGCGCCTTAAGAAGGCTTGTGCGAGGAAAGCTGAACTCTAGAAATTCAAAAGCAGAACTGAGCCCCAGAGAAAACGGCACACTGTCAAGGCTACAGCTAAATACTGTGTATTTAGACTCACAAAGACCAGGGGCTAAGGAAAACTGAAAAGGTTTTGGTGCTTTAAACTAAATGCTTTCAGTGACTTCTTAGACTCCCTAACAACTCAACTGTCTATCTAATGACAAAATAAAGGTATCTACTTTCCTTTATGCAGCGTTAACTTTGGAAGAGTTCCCAATTCGATCTGGCTTCAGCAGTCGTTACACAGTTGAGAAATCTGAAAACAGAAATCTCCTAACAGGCTGGAGAGATGGCTCAGTGGTTAAGAACCACAGAGGTTTGGGTTCAGTTCCCAGTACCCATATGAAGGCTCACAATGTAACTCTTGTTCCAGGAGATCCTGCACCCTCTTCACAAGACGCACACACATACATGCAGGCAAAACACTCATACACATCAAATAAAAATACATAAAATCTGAAAAAAACAAACTACTGTAACTCTAAGAGAATCTTAAAAACCCAATACTTGAAGAGTACAAATAGGCAATTCTTTTTGTTTTGGTTTTTGGTTGTTCCAGATAGGGTTACTCTGTGTGTCCCTGGCTGTCCTGGAACTCTCTCTGTAGCAAATAGGTAATTCTTATTGAGTAAAAAATAATTAGGATAATCTGAGTTGTTTAATTTCCTTCTAAATGAAAATAAAATGAGAAGAAAAAATATAAAAAACAATGACTTACAATTCTTTGATCCATAGCTCTGCCTGGAAGAAAGCAGGACTACAGACGGGGAAAGAAAATAAACAGGAGTTAAGGGGAGATTCAAATACTTTCACCAACAAAAGCGATCACTTAAACTGTTTGTAAAACTACTTTGCAATTGTGGAATAAAAGATATCCAACTGACACAAAGTAACTTGCTGCGGGCCGCAGGACTGTATCATAAGAACTCAGCTGGTTATGGCAAAGTCACTATATATCAGCTGTATTCTGTTATGAAAATCATGTGTGCCTTCAGTTTTCCCAGTTGACTTTTCCTAGAAGGGCTAACAATGTGGACTGATCACTCTCTGGACATACATATTCCAGGAACTTGGAGAACAGCCTCAGGAAAGGCTTTCCCTGGAATCAGGTATCTCCCTTAGCCATTTTCAAGGACTAACAGGAGACACCGCCTAGGTTGACGCCCAACTTCCAAGGACTAACAGCCCACATGCAAGTCTCCTGACTTAAGGGAAATGCCACAAGGAGACACCACCTAGGTGAGGTGGACGTTAAGTAACAGCTTTACACAATTTAGCTCAGACCCTCCCTTTTTATACCTGGACTTCCAGGGCACAGGACGGAGAAGAGAAAAGAGAATGGAAGAACTAGATGGGTAAGAACTTGAGAGGAACAAACTGAGATGGGGAAGAACTAGATTGAAGGGCTAGAAGAGAGGACTAGAGGGACGAGATGGAAGATGAGGAAGAGCCAGATGGGGAAGAACAAGATGAGGAAGAGCCAGATGAGAGAGAAGGAGATGGGAAAGGAGCTGATATGGGAAAGAACTAGATGGATGAGAACCTAGAAGGGACAGCACTAAGATGAAAGAATTAAGATAGAACCTAGAGGGGACAGCAGATAAATATAGAGAGAAATCGGACAAGAAAGGAGCTAGACATGAGAGCAGAATAGAAGCTGTGTAGAGAGAGAACTATCACAGAATAATAAAGTGTATGGACTAGGGAGTTTCTCGTGTACATAGATTCATTTCTTTTCATCAAAGATTAATTATCAGCTGGTTGTAGATTCTTCCAGGAGCCTGGGAGGGGACTATCGAGGGACTGGACCCCCATAGTCCCCGATACCTGGCGCCACAAACAGATTTAACTGTTTAGGTACTCAGGGGACTGATAGGAAGTAAGTTTTGGAGCATATCCAGGGAGAGGGGTATCGCTTCACAGAGGGTTGCCCAGTTAGAGGCTCAACTCTTCGAGAGGAACGATTTTGGGAGATCTCTGGAGTATCAGCTACAATCAGTCCTCACCGAAGGATGCTGCAGATCCCGGGGACACCGACGCCCCCATTTGGAGCGGTGAGTAGCTATGAATACCTCCCCGCCCCCCAATAGTCTGAAGAGAAACAGCTTCTGATATAAGTTACAGGACATAGGCTTAAGACGAAAGGCACTTCAGTCAGCTCCAGTCTGTTTACAGGCTTAGATAAGGAAGCAACAGACTATCTTAATTCCATAAAAACTCCTAAAAACCTAAGGAAAGATTTAGGAGATCCCTAAAAGCTGTCAACCTTAAGAAATTGATTTACCGTCAGACTATGATAAGCGGCAGAGAGTCTAACCCCTCCCTTTTAGGGAGAAACCTGCTGTTACTTCATTCCGGGTCTTACAAGGAGGTAACACAATTTTATCACACTACAAGACCTCCTGAGAGCGTAAACTAGAGCTATGAAGTTCACTATGTTCTCCATATAGCAGCAGCGTCCTGCTACAAACAGCCTTTCTTGCTAAAATTAACTGAAATCCAAAGGCTAACTTGAGCTGTAAACTTCTAATTGCTAACTAGAAGCTTGATCCAGCAGCCAGACTTCATTTAAATAACTATGCAAGCCTCACAGCCAGAGCCAGTTTGAAAACTAATGGCAACTCCTAACTCTCCTAAAAAAGTGTTCTTTTCTCTTTCCTCTTTTTGGGTTGACTTTTAAGTTCTTGGTAATTTACAAAAATCTTGGCCAAGTACAAGAACTTCAGTTAACTCATTTCAAAAAAACAGGTCCTGGTTAGGGGACGCCCTACTACGACCTCTATGGATTCATCAGATCCCCAAAGACGGTTAGGGATTGGAATCCTAAACATCTGCCTTCTTCTCTCTGAACCCAACTATCTGCTATCTGCATCTCAGCTCACTTCTGCCTGTGAGTCATCTCCACCCTTCTCCTCACCTTGCCACTCCCGGTGGCTATCTGGCTTGATAGGGACTGGACAAACCGGCTGCAACTGCTATTAAAAAAAAAAAAATTCTCCATTTTAGTTTGGGCCTTTTACTGTGCTTATCTCATTTCATGATACACCTTAAGGGATTTATTAAATTGTTACTCTTCTCATATACTATATTTTTGAATAAGAGTTCCTGTTTCTATATTAAAATAACTTCAGTACAAACTTAATATTTTTAAGGCTAAACCTCACAGGTATAAGACCTAAGTTCTAAGTTTAGAGATAATTATCAGAATACAAATTAAAACTTGATCATCATTAATGATCAAATTCTCTAATGTATACAAAATCATATTTATATACATGCTATGTATGCTAAATTTCATATAATTCATTACTTAGCCCCCTAACATTTAAAAGTTTAAGCTTTGGACAAAACTGCCATACCCCTTATTGCCAGGGTTTTGTCCAAACTATGCTCTGAGATAATTTAGATTATATTTCCATTTATCAGGTTTAAAGATAATTTGTCTTACTATTCAATTTCAAGTAAAAGATAGCTCACCTAACAGATTTCAAAATGACCTTTTACTGTTCCTTTATTAAAAGAAATTCACTTTACATTGGCTATTCTCAATAATCAATCACTTATTTCTCCTGACAAATTTAATACATAGATGCTTTTGGATGTAAAGTTTTTATAGGGATATAAAGGTTTAGACATAGAGAATGTTTAGGAAAGTTAAAAAATAACTTATGATATATGAATTGCCAGTTATTAGGATAGATCAATGTAACACATAAACGTCTAGATATGCTATAAATAATACATGAATCTCAGTAATAACCTAGAGATACTGAGGATGTATGCCTGTTAGATCTATGGATAAAGTTTTTATTGAGGTCTGAGATATATAAGCTTTAGGAATGGACTTATATGCCTTAACACAAGAGTCTGTGGACCTCCCCAGAAGGGACACTGGGGCTAAATATAGGCTGTAGCTCCTCTGCTGTACAAGGTATAAAAATTGTCCCAGTTAAGCTTGATCCTGACTTTACTAAAGAAATTAAGATTATTGTACAACCCTCTACAAAAAAACAATTCAGATTCATGCAGGGCAGCACCAAAGGGAGTTGTTGGTGTGGATTCCAGTGATATGGCCTTCTGGGTTCAGGAAATTAAATATTCCAAACCAACTAAACACTTAAAATACAGGGGAAAAAATAATTGGCTTGCTAGACATAAGCACGGTTGTTTCTTATATTTCAGGAAAAGATTTGCCAAGTACTTAAGACTATTACTCCTTCATCTCTTATAGGCCTAGGTCAACCTAATATTATTACTAGCAGCTCAAAAATATTAAGATGGTCAGATAGATAAAATTATGACATATTCTGACCATGTCATCCTCTATACCTAACACACTATGGGAAAGAGGCATACTGTAACAAATGGATGTACCATTAGTCTCTGCTGTGAACTAATATCATCATCTCCAATGCATTAGATGGGTTTTAAACTTAAAGGAACTTGAGTAAACAAGCTCAAGGCATAATTAAGCCCATTATTCCAGAAATCATAAATGACAGACATGGCCTAGGTTATCAGGATTTGTCCTAGGAGCCACTATCCCCCTCACTGCTGACCACATTTCAGGAAAATCTGATGCTCCTATCTGGGTTAAGCAATGACCTTTAAATGCTGAGAGAAATGTAATTGCTACCTGCCTGGTGGAGGAAAAACTTAAATATTGGTCATATAAAGCCCCCACCAGCCCTTAAATCACCCCAATATCTTTTTATTTAGGAAAATCAGGCTTATAGACTGTTACAAGACCCTAATAAATTAAATAAAATTTATTAAAGCCAAGGGAAATCTCACAGCCTGGCCTGCCATCTCCCACGGCCATCCACGGAAATCAAAAAAAATAATCGCCACAGATATAAAGATTGTCAGCATTTCACTTTTAGCTTGCCTACTCACCCTGCCATGATGGAGGCCAAAGCTGACATCCAGAGCAGGAAATGGGAGTTCTGCTTATCCAGGACTCATTCATTGAACAGAGTTCCTCCTTTTATATATACAGATTAACTATCAGAACTGTCAATTATAGCTTCCTTACAGTCCCCCAACCTATATGTATCTATGTATGTATATACATATATCTTACAATTTATTACACAGATGATATTATAGTTATATCAAACTATGAAACTTATGAGTCTATAGATTGGCAGATAGCTCTACAGGATATACTGGTACCTTTTCTTATGTCTGTCCAACAATTACAAATTCTCTCCCTAGGAAGCTCACCCACAAGGCTTACATCCTTATGGTTTACAGTTATAAAATAAGAAGTAATACACCATTTATTTCACTGCTTTTCATTTTAAGAATGCCTAGAGCTCATATATAGACAATGGCCTTACATATACTCCAAGAGCTCTTAAGAACTGGTGGTTAATTTTTCATATCCCCCACTACAGGCATTCCTTATTACCCCCAGGCCAAGCCTCAAAGTTACACCTAAGCCTCTATGATCTTCTCACTGGTATTTGAAAAGGTCCTGATGTTTTCATAATGTCAGGAAGAGGATATGCTTACATGTCTTCACAGGACATTGACCTGCCTTTATGAATCCTGGATCGCCTGGTCATACCATATACTGGGCAGCTGTAGGACAAAGGCGCTCTAAAGCTGCCAGTCTGAATACAGGCTCTTATTTACCTCTAGATTCTTAAATATTGAGTTTTGAATATGAATAAATTGATACAAATCCAGATCCTTTTGATGAACTGTTCATCAATGATATAAAACTTATAGAAATATGATTAGAAGTAATAATTCTGTTCTAAATATTTTATTAATATTTGTCAAAAAATAAATGGGACTTGAGAGGTGTATAAATGACACATTTCAGATTTCATTCTCTGGCTATCCTGATGTTTTGTTGAGGCTCCAAGGATTCATAATTTTGCTGACAAAATTTACCACTGTTATATTGCTAACATGTTTAAGATTTTGTCTATTAAGAAGGTTCTTATAAGCTTCAGGAGATCAAAATTTGCCAATGCTCACAAGCCAAGAAGGACTGGGAGGAATGCAACCTAACTACAGTTCTTATCTCCCACCTACAAAATTTCCTTCTCTCCTCTGGGTGGGGAGGAGCCTTCCCTCTCCCTGGCCTGGAACCCCCTCCTCTCATCTGCTAACCATGCATTTACTATCCCACAGGTACACCTAAGAGACAAAGTTTCCTCTTTGAAACTCCTCATCTTTAAAACTCCTCGGCTGCATGTTCTACCATTGATACACATATTTGTTCCCAGCAGAAATTCTAACCATTTAAAGAGTTACAGGTTTTCGTCCTCTGGACTATGGACATGCTGTCTAGCTGCAGATCTACACCCCACCTCCAGCCCACACGATGTACTGTCCGGCCCAGCCCTGCGTCACGCCCTCCAGCCCCAGCCCATGAGACAGAAAATTCTGCTGCTACACTGCGTGTCTCACAGAGCCTGAAACTGCCTGCGCTTCCTGGGTTTCCACTGTATTCCAGCCTTCAAGACCCCCAGCTTCACCCCATATCTGCAAGAAGTGACCATGTGAGATTTCTATAGCCCCTTTGTCACGTACCCCTTTTTCTGAACTGAACTCTCCAGCCCAGGGGTTGGACTGCCCTTAAAAAATGCTCTATTATTAATTGTATAAGTTCTGCCCATGATCCTGAAATGTAATGTACTATCAGATATTCTCCTCATGTACTTATGACAATTGTTCTGTATGTATGTCTTGTTATGTATACCCTGACACAGGTTATTACTGTTTTCTCATAGCTAGTGGTTTAACATTGCATCGATTACAAATTTAAACTAGGTAAGCTTCAGCTGCTCACCTTGGTCCCACAGGTGCTCATGACTTACTCAAGTAACTCTTTACCTATGCCTCTTTAAAATACAGGTTAACCAAATTAATACCACTAACCAAAGATTAATAGATAGAATATTCCAAACTAACCATTTCTTTTTGATAAGTCACAATCATAGTATTCAGACACTTTTAACCATATTATGTCATACTAGCTAAGGACAGATTTTTTTATGATTACTCATCTGCTCCCTTTTGGAGACAGAGATAGTCTAACTATATACAGCTATACCTATTAGATGGTTAAACTAATCCTCAGCCTGCCATCTATATTGGGGACTCCCATAGTGCCCGATAGTAACTAATATGCTAACTGCTCTAACAGAGGTTTCCCCCTCAACTGCCTTCTCTCTTTGCAACCCCCTAACTAAGGGATCTATCATGAACACTTTTCCAAAGGAAACCTTTGAGGTCCATAAAACAAGTAAATGGAGCTCCAATTTCAAAGTTGGAGACTTAGCTCCATTTAGTTCTGTGGTTCTGTGCACGTCACTTCCTGTCAGCTTCAAGGTGTGTAAAGCACAGTGGGTTAGAGTTCCGAGTCCCTAGTCACCCTTAGGCTGTGACTTGGCAACAAGAGCACTGTTCTGCCTCCTCACTGTCATTAAGGTTAATGAGAGCTGCTCCCCTGGGGCTCGATGAGCACCTGATATATCAACCAAGACAGACAGCTCGAAAACCAGCAGCAGCAGCAGCAGTGTGGTTTAGAGTAAGACGAAGAAAATGAACCAACACGAGATGATGTTTATTACATGATACAAAGACGGAAGACAATTACTCAGGGTTTCACATGAGCAGGTCAGGAGTTCGTCTGCATTCCTTATCAAAACACAAATTGGATTGTGAATAGATTTTTGTCTATTTATAAATTACTGTATCCTCTACAGCTAGAATACTGTCTGGTACAGAACAGACCCATGATGGCTGAATAAATGTATAATGTAGGGGCAAGTACTTCTCTTCAGTGTACTGAGGTATCTGTTGGCTCAAGAAGGACAATTATTAGGGAACTGCATTTCTAATGAGATCACACAGCATTTCTTATATAATTGAGGCATACAGTAAGAGCTACAAGCATATTTGAACAAAGCTGTTTTCAGTGCTCTGTATGTAAAACTGCTATAGTAGTTTTATATGTTTTTTTTAAAATATTTATTATGCATACAGTGTTCTGCCTGCATCCCTGCAGGCCAGAAGAGGGCACCAGATTACATTACAGATGGTTATAAGCCATCATGTGGTTGCTGGGAATTGAACTCAGGATCTTTGGAAGAAGAGCCAGTGCCCTTAACCTCTGAGTCATCTCTCCAGCCCAGTTTTATATGTTGTTAAGCCTCATGAGAATCTCCACATTAGTTCATCTTCAATATAATATGTAACATGCAATTATTACTCATACTTTACAGAAAACAAAACCACCCTGAGGTTCAGAAGGACAATCTGTATTGGAACAACTAGTATTATAAGCTTTATTGGTCCAGTTCCAGACTATGTTTTTTTCTTCTCACGTTGAAATGCCTTTCGGGATGCTAACACATTAAATAACAAGGAAAACTGAGTGCTTGGGCTACTTAAGAGGGCACTTGGGCTTTCTAGGAAGATCACTTATTTAGGAAAGATTGACTTACTAAGCACCCACCACATGTGAGGCACTAAAATCAGCACTGGGTGGTTGGTTACATGCAAAGATATTAGCGGTAAAGATACAGGGAGAGTGGAGTCTCTAATGTTGTCTGGGAAACTCAGACACCATCTAGAAAAAAATAACATCTGAATCAGATTTTGAAAAGCCAGAATTAATCAGTGGTCAAGCAAAGAAAGGGAATCCCAGGCAGAAGACTCAAGAGTGTATAGAGTACAGAGGTGTGAATGCCACATTCTGGGCAAACAGGGCAGGTCCTCACTGTAGGAACTTAACTAAAAGGCAGCGGCTGAAACTAAACCTAGAGGCCAAGCAGCCAAATCCTGTAAAAGCAGCTTTAATCCAGCCAAGGACACCACCCCGTTTGCCTTGTTAAATAGCTCATGCTTCAAGTCAATAGGAGAAATCCCCCATAAAGGAAAGGCACACTTACTTAGTAAAGAACCAATGAGAAACTGGGAGTATTCTATCTAATATCACCGTCTTCCAGGAAAGAATCCTAGCTTTTGTTTACTGTGAGACACGTTTGAAAGCACTAAGCATCTTACGATTATACATCATCATCACTTGACAAGGTCTCAAGTAGTCCAGGCTGGGTTCAAACTCACTGTGTACATGAGGATGACCTGATCTCCTGCTTCCACTCTCTAAGTGCTGGGGTTACCTCCATACCGACTTTACGTCACTCTCCATACTGACAAGTGTGGGTCAAGAGAGTAACAGATTTACATGAAGGCCAAAAAAGCTAAAAGCAGAGGTTAGCCCTGACTCTAAACACCATGTAAGAAATAATGAATCTAACTAATAAAGTCTCCTTGGAAGACTTGGAGAACTTGGAAGAATGCCTGAAGCTGAGAATGAGCGTGGGAGCTGCAAGAAGGGGACTGGACTGAGACAGCCCTTGGTCACCTGTGACCATCTCAGGACACTGGCTACTGTGACCACTCGAGCAGCCACACTACCAAGGCTACGCACCATTGAGGCAGAGCAGTCTACGGAATGTTACAGAGGAAGAAGGGCTTGAAACCCCAGAAACAAAGCTCTACATGGAAGATCACATCTGAGCTGAACTTTAGACCACTGTCAGGCAAGCTGAAGGAGAGAGCACATTAAAGACAGAAGGAACAGTGACAGAGGACGAAGTGTGCTTACAGACTAAGAGTAGTCATCCGGTGTGTGGAGACACACACACCAATCTATTTACAAATACGGCTTCCTCCATGACTTCTGTCTGCTGGCACTTGATCGGATTTGCCCTAGCCACTTTAGATAAACATCCCCCACCCTAGTCTCCCTGACTTCATTACTCTTCACAGCACTGGTAATTACCACTTCTGGCTCACTACTTGTTTCTTATCTTAAATAATATGAAGCTCCTTTTAACTGGATGTGCTGGCACACCTTTAATTCCAGCACTTGGAAGGCAAAGGCAGGCAGCTCTCTGTGAGTTCAAGGCTAGCCTGGTCTACATGGCAAGTTCCAGGCCAGTCAAAGGTTACACAGTGAGATTCTGCCTCAAAAACAACAATAACAAAACACCAAACACAAAAATAAAATGCAGCTCCCTGAGAACAGGGAGTCTTCGTCACGCTTACTATCCTAATGTCTATACAAATACCTGACACACAGTAGGTTCTCAATAAATACTCGTTAAAGGAACAAAGCGCCAGAGAATCTAAGACTTGTGAAGGCGTTCTTTTTCTCACACGTAGCCGTTTTGGCTTAATCCTAACGTTACTAAGGTATCCTTGAGGTAATTTAATAATTTAATGATCATCGAAGCTCTCTACTGATTAGATATGAATTTTAGAAAGATAACTGTGGTTACAGCATGGAAGGCAGACCATGGAAATTCAGTATGGTGGGAAGCATAATGAAGAGTGAAGGCTGGAGGAAAAGGATGGGACAGGAAGTCACTGAGATAATTTGAACACACAGTTTTATGCCATGTGACTTGTCAGTGCAGAACTGTAGCTAAGGAAGGAAATGGCCGACCCTTCCCCTAGGTTTACCTGGAAGCTGGAGTTTGAGATTCTTTCACTTTGAGTAAAATCACAGAGTCTGATCCTAAACAAAGAAACACAAGCGCATGTCATTATGAGAACATCCCACTGTTTCCCATGTCTGCCTTCAGTTCAAGTTCAAGCTTCTGCACTGTGTTACGTTCTCTGCCACAAACGCAGCGTTAAGCATAGGGTAACTGACAGATAGGGAAAGAGGAACAGTTTCACTTTACTGAGCCCAGAAACTGGTCCTGGGAAGAGCTGTGCCTCACAAATAAGGAAGTCATTAGGAGCACAGGCACATCTGTCTGTCAGCATCAACCATCCTCCTGGTGCCACAACTTGAAAATTCTTAGTTTATAATATGTACTAAATAAAGTGAAAAGAAGGGAACAGGAAACGGAAGGGAAGTGGAAGACAGAGATAAACAAATAGGTTTATAAAGATGACTTCATCATTGTATTTCAAAGTCCTTCTCCAGTACCAGGACTATTCCCTCACTCAGGATATTTATTTACAGTACAAGGACATGATGCAATGTCATGCCCAGTGTTTTACTCCAGTCTAGCTTTATCTCAGTATCTCCTACATGACATGCACTTCTGAGGTTTGAGTACTTTTTTATTTAGATTTCTGGAAAATAAAATAGTTCTCAGCAAATCATTTCATAAAATGTAACACAAATTTTCAAGTGTAGTTAAATAGTGATATCACTAAAAATTAAATTCCCAACTAATAATTTTAAGAAAGTAATGAGTATAATAATAATAATAATAATAATAATAATAATAATAATAAATCAAATGAACTGAGAAAGGAGGAGAGAGCTTTAAGAGATGGGTGCTGTGTGTCAAAAGAACCCTACTATCTGACCACTTAATCTAAATGAGGATAACTACATAACAAAATTGTTACCACCACCATTGCTCAGACTGGATAATTGGGTGAGCTAAGAGTTAGGCAGGATATTCTTGTTTCTAAAACTTTCAACCACCCTAAAATGCAAAAAGCGTCTATCAAAATTAAAGATTATATGATAAATACTTGTCTAATGTTTGAAAATTCTCAGAACTTCAGAGAACCCCGTTTGCATTGTCAAGCAAGAGAAACAAAAAGCAATCACTGAAGCAGAGGGGCAGTAGCTTGGGCTCTTGGCTTTACTCAGGAAGTTAAAATATTTCGCCTAGCAAGGTGGAGCATGTCTGTAATCCCAGCTCTCTGGAAGCCAAGGTGGTGTAGTAGGACTGCCACAAGTTCAAGGCCAGCCTACTATACAGCAAGTGCCAAGCAGCCATGGGTACAAAGTAAGACCCTTTAAAAAAACTAGTAATAAAACATTATACCAAGTCATTTGTAAGCAGGAAAAAAGAACACCCTTTAAAAAAGGAAGGGAGGGAAGAAGGGATGGAAGTGGGGAAGAGTAAAAGGAGAAAAAGGAATGAATTTTATCTGTGGGTTTGTTTGGTTTCATCATGGCATGGCTAACTGAATCCTAGGTATTTCATTAGACTTCCGTATGTATTAAGTTATATGTATCACGGTTTTGCCTGCAGCAGCTACACTCAACAGTTAACTGACTGACAGTGTTACTCACCTTCAGACTGTGTACTTGATGCTGGCAAGTTATCTGGCTGAGGTGGGGTGGAGAGGCGAGAGTGAGACCGGCGGTAAGGAGCAGAGGCTTTGGGTCCAAATGCAGCATCTCGGGCACAAGACGACAGGGGAACCGCACCACCGTGGGCCAGTGGTTCCTGCGCAGTTACAACACTAGCAGAGCCAGAGGATGAAGTATCTGAGCCAAAGACGTGAGATGCACAAGAGTTTCCATTTCTCAACAAGGAGTCTCTCAGGGAGTTCTTATTGGAACTAAGACATCGAGATCTAGTAAAAGAAGGATACAGTTTCAATATCGAACAGCAAATCGTGAAGTTACGTTCACATGAAAACTACTTTTGTGACTTACAGGTGCAAAGGGAAATGTGTGGTGGGCTTGGCTACAGAGAACTGTTTCCCTGTGACCATCTGCAACAGCTGCCTATAGATCTCTTTTTCTTCTTCTTGAACTGTCTGTAAGGGAGAGAAAAGAAAAGATCCTAACCATGAGGCAAACAATTCTCAGGTTAGCATGTAGATACTCAGAACCTCTGCCAAAGCTCTAGCAGTCCTGAAGATAAAGAACTACTATACACTGATGATACTCTCAAAGTATGCATAAGAGGAGCTAAGCAGAATTAACTCTCAGAGACAGCTTGTTTTGGAAAACTATGGTGGATATAACAGTGCTGAGAAGCTACTGAATATAAAACCAGAAAGCCATGAAACAATTATTTAATCACTCAAATGATAATGAGCCCAGAAATGAAACATTTAAGACTTCTGAATTAGAATCCTGATCAGTCCCTTGAGTCCCAAGGAGGTAAGCACACAGCTCTGTCAGACGCAGTTACCTTGCCAACAGCTCCTTCTTCCATGCAGGTGCAAGTGTGTTCTGAAGATGGAGTCCATCTCCACCATTTAATTATTTATTGTTCTCTAAGTCTCAATTTAGTATTTAGGAAAAAAAAAACAACAATACATATAATCTATAACATTTACTCACTGACTTGAACATCTACTATGTTCACTTTTAGTCACTTGAGATTTGGCATTGAATAAAGTAAATATGCAGCCTTTGTGGAATTTATATTATAGTTATTACAGGGGCTGTCAATCAAAACTTGTTCACAGCATGAAGAAAATTAAAGAGCAAGGAGGATACAAACTCATGGAGGGGAATAGCAGGAAGACACCATCTCTCTAAAAAGATGACGTTTCAGCAGAAACCTAAACTAAGGAAGGTAGAAGGTTATATATATATTATATATACACACACACATACACACACACATATGCAAATGCAAAGCCCAAGACAGGAAATGTACTTCAAGTTTTAAAACCTGTGCAAAAGAAGCGCAGAACAAAGGAGGTCACTGGGAGAAAGGATCCTGTAAGGGCCCATCACCCTGCAAAGCATCTACTCTACAATGTGGAGCTCACTAAGAAATGCCCAACTACTTTTTTTCAGCCGCCAGTCTTCACAAAGTGAAATTCATTGTGTTAGGGTTTCTATTATGACATTTCAGTAAGCGTATTAACATTTTATGTAATTACAAACAAATGTTTGGGGTTTTTTGAAGATCTATTTATTATGCATACAGTGTTCTGCCTGCATGCATCCCTGCAGGCCAGAAGAGGGCACCAGATCTCATTACAGATGGCTGTGAACCACCACGTGGGTGCTGGGAATTGAACTCAGGACCTCAGGAAGAGCCATCTGAGCCATCTCTCCAGCCCTACAAATGTTTATTAAAAGCAGAATGAACTGGGAGGCAGAGGCAGACAGATCTCTGTGAGTTTGAGGTCAGCCTGATCTATAGAGTGAGTTCCAGGACAGCCAGGCTGTTCCACAGAGAAATCCTGTCTTGAAAAAACAACAACAACAAAACCCAAAACAAAACAAAACAAAAAAACCAAAACAACAACAACAACAACAACAACAAAAAAACCCCAGAATTAACTAAAGCAGTAACTACTAAAGTGAAAAGTGAACAGACACTAACACTTTGCTTCCTGAATCTTTCACTGTTGCTGCAAAGTAAATTACAATTATATTGTCATTATAATGTTACTCATTTGCTAGATGGATTTAAATTGTGAAGCAGGACAACTCCAACTATCCTGAAATTTGAACAGCTAAGTGATTAAAACAAAAGGAAGAGTTAGGCAAGCATTTGGTGGACAAACAGACCCCAAGGAGAAAACAACAGCTTGTGATGTTCTCTGCAGGGCGTTGGGGTCCACACTGTTTTATGCCTGGCATGTTCATATTGTAGGCATAATACTGATGGATGACCTAGTCTAGTGTTTGAGATAATGCTTAAGTTCTTCAGGATACAGAGCTGGAAGTTCTTGTGGGATACCATAAATGACAACAGTCAGGGGACAGAGGAGACTATTCCAAGAGAAAAAACAAGAGGAATCAAGAAGGGACGGGACAGCTCAACAGCACAGAGAGGTAGAAAGGTGACCTAAAGGAACACAGGAACTGGAGAGACTCTTAAGAGTGAGGCTGAGAGTGTACACAGCCCGACTGACAACCAGCAGTTCTAGATTCAGGAGTCTTCCTACAGAGCAGGCTTCTCTTGGAGAAGAAATCCATTACAATGTATCCCGTATCCTGGATTGCTATGATCAGTGGCATTTTTAGGTAGCTAGTTAGACGGCAGGCTTGAGGGACCTTGGGGTTCGACCCTTCCTTGGTAGCCAGCATCCTGTGAAACCAAGGACCGAGCAGCAGGATTTCATTACCAGCCAGAAGAGTAGGACCCGAGTCTTCCCTCTGGTCCTGAGGGAATGAGGGTAGAAAATAGTACAAGTCTTTGTTTTTTGTAGACTAGTCTCTTCCTTTAACTTTGCTTCCTTCTTTCTTTCCTTCCTGTGCTCCTTTGTCTTATCCTTTTATTTTTATTCCTTTTACCTTTATTAATCTTTAAGTTCCCAGTATAGTTTACATTATTTTTGCCTCCCTTTTCTCTATGTTCATGGTCTAGAAGTCACTGCAATTGTTTTTTTTTATGTTTGTTTTGCTTTGTGTTGTTGCTGTCATGGCAATTTGATTTTTCCCGTCTGAGTGATATGAGGATTGAGCCCCCAGAAAAGGTCACTCCTCCCAGGTAAAACCATAATGACAGCCATCCAGGCTGAGAATAAGGCTCTTGGCATGCAAGCATGAAGATGCGAGTTTGAACATCCAGAACTAACTGAATGCCTTTGGGAACGGCAGCCAGTCAGCAATTCCAGTGCTCACAAGGTGGAGACAGGGACTTCCTGGAGCAAGCTGGCTAGCTAGACTAGTTATATGGGTGAGTTCAGGTTCAAGTGAGGGACCCTGCCTCAATAAGGTGGACTGCTATGGAGAAGACCCCTGACATGAGTTTGGGACCTCTACATGCATGCGTCCACACAGACACACAAATATATGCCCCTCACACATGTGAACACGCATACATACACATGCACATTCACAAAAAAAGACATCCTTACAGATGTCCAAATCACAACATAGAAACACAAGACACCAATATGGTGGAAGTAAGAAAAAAAAAAATTAAAAGATCTAGTTTAAGAAATGATCAGTTGGTTAGTTACCTTTCTTGTCACTATGACAGAACACTTACTGGCTCCCAGCGCAGGGGATGCACTCCCGCACAGCAGGGCAGGCACAGTGGCTAGAATGGCTGCCAGTTGTTGGTGTCAGCCTTCAGGTCAAGGCTGGCTGTAGGAAAGCTCAACTATAACCTCCAGCTCTGCACCCATGGCCTTCCCTCTGCCAGTTAGGGCCCACGTCCACAAGGTTCCTCTACCTCCTAAAACAATGCACCAGCTAGTTCAAACCAATCACTGACCCACAACAGAATTTAAATAAACAGATGAATGAAGAAGTCAATGAAGATTTAGACAAAAAATTCAGCAAAGGGACAACACATTCAAAGCCATAACAAAAGAAAAGAAAAAATTTGGAACGGAAAATTTAGAAATTTTTGTTTTATTAAGGGCTGCAGAAATGGTTCAGTGAATAAAGGCACAACCCTGATGGCTCACATTTGATCTCTAGGACCTAAATGGTAGAAGAAAAGCACTGATGTCAGTGAGTGCCGTGATGTGGATGTGTACACACACACACACACACACACACACACACACACACAAACAAAACAAATAAATGTTAAAAAAAAATAAGATGACAGACCAGAGCACTAGGAAAGAATAAAAAGTATTGAAGACAAAGCTGAGGAGTTATTACAGTAAGATATCAATAAAGAGAGGGAGAGAAAAAAAAAGCAGTATTTTCAGCTGGGCAGTGGTGGTGCATGACTTTAATCCCAGCACTTGGAAGGTAGAGGCAGGCAGACTTCTTAGTTTAAAGCCAGCCTGATCTACAGATCGAGTTCTAGGACAGCCGGAGCTACACAGAAAAATCTTGTCTCAACAACAACAAAAAACAAAAAACAAAAAAAAAAAAAAAGAGGAAAAAAAAAAAGAAAAGAAAAAGCAGTATTTTTAAAACATGCATATATTCCAATAAACCAGAAAAATTCAGGACTGTATACATTTTTGGACAGTTATATGACCTAACAAAACTGAACTTGTTGTTATGAGATATAACAACAACCTAAACAGATCAATAATGATACTGAATCACTAATCAAAGTCTCCAAACAAAGAACAGTCAAGGACCAGACATTCACTGATTAAAAAAAATCTTCCAGACTTAAGAACTAACATCAATTTTCTTCAAACTATTCTACAAGATAGAAAAGAAATAAATACTCTCGAACTCATTCTAGAGCCAGCACTACCTTAAGGCCACAACTGGATAAGGACACAATAGAGAGAAAAATGATAAACCAAATTCTCTGATGAACATAGATGCAAAGATCTGTAGCAGGAATCTTAAAGAGTTCTTATTAATAAAATCAAACCGAGTCCAGTTATTGGGGTGAATGCTGGTAGATCAGAGGGACAGAACAAGCCACAGCTATCTCACCTTGCTGGATCCTCAGCTGGTCTTGTCTCCTCAGACTGGAGGCCTCTGAGTCCCCATCCAGAATGGCTCTCAGCTGAATTGCTGCTCGAAAGCCTAAACGCTTAACCAGCCAAATGCTTCTAGTTTCTGGTCCTCACGCCTTATATACCTTTCTGCTTTCTACCACCACTCCCTGGGATTAAAGGCTGCTTTCTGGGATTAAAGGGGTGAGTCACCATGCTTGGCTGTATCCTTGAACAGATGGATTTCTGCCTCTGGAATGCTAGGATTAAAGGTGTGAGTGCCACCATTTTCTAGCCTTTGTATCTAGTGGCTGTCTGTTCTCTGACCCCAGATAAATTTATTAGAGTGCACAATATTTTGGGGAACACAATAACACATTTCCCCTCTTTTTGTCTAAAATTAAAAAAGCTTATAACTAATACAAGAAAAATTATATCCAATAAGTATATACAATATACAGAGTCAAGATTACATTAAC